CTCCCGGCTCCCCTCCCGTTTCCCCCTCCTGCCTTCTCCTCCCTCTTTTCTCCCCCTCCGTCCCCTGTTCTCCCCCTCTTGCCCGCTCCTCCTGTTCCCCTCTCCTCCTCACTCCTGCCCCTTTACCTCTCCTGTTCCTCCTACCCCATCCTCTCCCCCCTGCCCTTCTCCGCCCCGCTTCCTCCCTCCTGTGCCCCCTCTGCTCCCCTTCTCTCCCTTCTGCCCTCCTCGTCCCCCTTCCATCCCCCTTTTCTCCTCCTACCCTCTTCTCCTCACTCCTGTCCACCCTCCATTCCCCTTCCAGCTTCCCTCCTCTACCCACTTTCTCCTCTACTGCCTTCTTTTCCTCCTCCGTCCTCCCCTTTCCCTTCCTCCTGCCCCCTCTTCTCCCTCCCTCCTGCTCCTCTCCCAGCCCCTCCAGCTCTCTCCTCCCTGTCCCATCCCCCTTTATACACCCTTCACCTGTCCCCCTTTCTGCACCTTTTCTTCCCCCTCCTGCCTCCCCTCCTGTTTCCCTCCCTTCTTCCCTCTCTTGTTCCCCTCCCCCCTCTTCGTGCTCCCTTCCAGTCCCGGGCCAACTCTGGCTCCTCCCTCCCCTGACTTCTGGGCCTGGCTAGGTTCTGAGTCCACTATTGCACCCCTTCCACAAAACCTGGAGGAGGAGGCTCTGCTGACACCTCTCTCCCCCCAGCACCCTGCACTTCACAGCCTCTCCCTAGGCAGGGAACTACCTAGGAACTTTGGGAACTCAGTGTCTGTGTCCCCATCTGTCCCGGGAGTGGGGTCATAGTGCTAGCCCTTTACCTAGCCAGGCTACAAACGCCTCTGGTGACTTAGGTCAGCGGGCAGGGACGCAAGTGTGCAGCATCAGCTTTCAATGCAATATTACATATGTTACATATGCACATTTTCTGGCTGCTTCCTAGTCCCAAGGCCTGGGACTAGTGATCTGAAGTTTAATCAGACCTCTGGTGGGTTCACGGATGCATCCGTGAACCCACCGCTTACTTGATGGACAGAGCAGGTAACCACCCCCTATTTACAGAAGAGGCAACAGAGGCCCAAAGATTTGGAGCCCTTTAGTTAAAGGCTGCACAGCTGTTTTATCCTAGCCAGCAGCTGCAAGAACTGAGGTCTGATGTCTATTGGATGAGATGTCCATGTTACTTTCTCAATAAGTATTTATTGAGAATCTGCAGTGCCCAGGGGCACAGTTCTGCATGCTAGAGAGACTTGAGGGACAGGATAGTGACTTGTGTGTAGGATGGTACTGTTGACACATTAAGTAGAACATGAATGTAGTTAAATGTGGCAGTCTGCAGACATTCTTGTAAATCGGTGGGTGGGGGTGTCACTGGGCACATAACATCAGCAAGACAGAGGAACAAAAGCAGAGGAACAAACAGACTCTAGAGTAGCCTTGCTCACAGGCAGCTTACATCCAGCCTTCTGCATGTGGTGATTGCATAAACATTCAGATGCTGGCTGCAGGTGGCTCACCCCTGTAATCCTAGCTACTCAAGGGGCTGAGGTCTGAGGAATATGATTCAAAGCCAGCTGGGACAGACAAACCAAGAGACACATCTCCAATTAACCAGAAAAAAAAAGCCAGAAGTGGACCTGTGATTTAAGTGTTAGAGCACTACCCTTGAGCAAAATCTCAAGAGAACAAGAGGCCCTGAATTCAAGCCCCAATACCAGCACAACCAAACAAGAAAAACATTCAGACAGGATGGGCAATTGCTTTTCCTAGATTGAAAGGAGCAGTCTCAGAACCTGACAAAGAGCCAGATGTATACTGTAAGTGCTCAAAAGGAGAGTATTCAACAACCAACTCTCCTTTGGTGTAATTATACCAGAACAAAAGTTGATAAGGATGTAGGAAAGGCTGAGTCACAGCTTTGGCAGATTGGAGAAGATAGAAATACCCTGAGGCTGGGAGACAAGGTCTAGGAAAAGAGTACAAATGAAGAAAATACCCAAGGCTCACCCTGCAAAGGGCTTTAGGGCCAGGATGCAGACTTTGGGGTTTGTTTTGTGAGCAGTGGGGAGCCATGGGCAGTATTTAAGCCTGTTGCAGGGATAACTGTAAGCACGCTAGCACAGTGGTGTAGGTGGTACATTCTCCCTAAATTCTAGATAGGACCATATCCAACACAACATTTTCCCCTTTGGCAATGCTAGAGTTTGAACTTAGAGCTTAATGCTTGCTAGGCAGATCCTCTCCTGCTTGAAGCAATCTTTCAGCCACTTTTGCTCTGCTTTATTTTTAAGGATAGAATCTCATTTTGTTGCAATGCCCAGCTTTGTCTTTTGAGATAGTCTCATGAACTTTTTTGTCTGGGCTAGTCCAGAACTTCCAACCTCCTGAGATGCTAGAATTATGGAGTAAGCCATAAACTCTGAAAACCTCAAATGATTGCTCCTTTGTCTTATTGTCTTTATTTAGGTGTCACTTCTCTTCTTTTCCTTCCTTCCTTTTTCTCTTTCTTTCTTTCTTTCTTTTTCTTCCTTCCTTTCTTTCTTTCTCTAATTTGTTTCATTTAAAAAGCAATATAAAATTGGGCACTGGTGGCTCACATCTGCAATCCTAATTACAGCTACTCAGGAGGCTAAGATTTGAGGATCATGGTTCAAAGCCAACCCAGGCAGGAAAGTCTGTGAGACTCTTATCTTCACTAAACTACCAAAAAACATAGAAGTGGTTAGAGTGCTACACTTCAGAGAGAAAGAGAGAGAGAGAGAAAGAGAGAGAGGGAGGCTTGAGGTAGTACCCAGGCCCTAAGTTCAAGCTGCAGAACTGGCAGGTATGTACATACATACACACACTCACACACACACACACACACACACACACACAATAAAAAAGAAATTCCAATAGTACAAAAACATATAAGGCAAAAGTCCTGTTCCTTCTTCCTTACTCTCTCAGTCCGGTTCTCCATGGATAACCAATGGTCACGTTTATTGTTCCCAAACTATTTCATGCATAATGCGCTTATACTTGTGGGCATTAACCAAGCATCTCACTTGCAGGCAACAGAAACTAACCTTCTGGATAATTTAAGCAGGCGGAGTTAACACAAAATTCTTTCAGAGGTCCCATGTGGGATTGGCTCAGCCTGGTCACATGTTATGCCTGAGCGGAAGGGAGGCTAGGAAGGTGAGTTTCTGACAAGGGAATCTCTTGCCCCCTAAACATAAGGGACTTCTGGATGACAGACAGCAAAAATAGCAACTATTTACCATAAACAATTCCTTCTAGAACAGTCCTTCTCTTGGCAAGAGAACCTTCCTCCCCTACTCAGTCCCTGTGGGTCAGTGGCTAGCATGGTCCTGCCCGTTCTGATTGGCTTCAGCCAGGACTCTCAATAAGTGACTGGGAGATTGGGACAGCCTCTCTGGCAAGGTTGTTAGCTGTCAGAATGTCAGGATCTTGCAAGCCAAACTAGGGTTCACTCTTCCACTTTCCTACACACACACACACACACACACACACACACACACACACACGTGCATGCCTGCCTGCCTGTCTGTGTGGCTACCACAGAGGCAAGCAAAGCCACGTCAGAAAATGCCCAGCTCCCCCTTCCTTTCTGGCTAAGTTTATTTTTAGCAAGAGCATCATCCCCTGTAACCCCAGCCTTAGCAAATATATGGTTTACTTTGTTTTTTTTTTAATGGATGGGTTCACATTTACTTTTTCCATTTAGTGTCATAAATTCCATGGATTGGCCATCCACTCTACATTCAATAGTTAAATCTAACACTTTTCGAGGGTTACAACTTATTTAATTTGGGTAGTACTGGGCTTGAACTCAGGGCTTCACACATGCTAGACAAGCACTCTTTTGCTTGAGCATGGCCACACACACACACACACACACACACACCCTTATTTAATCATTTTTTTAAATGGTGCACAATTGGCTTGTTTCCAGTATTCTGCTGTTATGAACATTGTTTATGACAGTCAGGGTCCTAGCAGAGGACCAATGGCATGTGTGGCAGATGAATGTTTATTAAAGGACCAGTAAAAAAGAGCAGGCAGGGCTAAGCGCTATAGGGATGGTGTGAGACTCTAGGACAGGTAATGCCAGGAAGCAGTTACCATCCCAGGCCTGGAGGAGTGGAAGGAGAGAATGGTTTTAGAAATTCTGACAAAGAGAATACAGCAGGGAGATACCTGGTGGGCATGGCACTGGGGAGAAGGACACAGCCAACCTGCAGCAACTTGATGGAGGAAGTTTCTGGGGGGGAATATGTACTTCTGACCTCACTCTCTTCCCCTCTGGATTCCCGCCTGTGCCAGTCCTTGGGGGAATTCATCCCAAAGCTGGGAGCTGGATCCTGTAGTGTTATCCAAGCAGCCAGCAAGAAGGCACACAAGGGGAAAAGGGAAGGTTCCCATATCTTGCTGCTGAGCCAGCAGCATTGGTACC